CCTGTATTGACAGCCTGAAGGGTTGATATCCTGCTCAGCAGAGGGGAAATGTGCAAAGTAAGGCAATCCCACAACCATTTTTAATCAACTGACCCTCAAATGATCTGAAACCTTGTGATTTCAGAGCTGGTTTGGGGTTCATGAAGTCAGGATCAGCTCCAGGTGGGCCTCTGGTGATAAGAGAGAGTGTGGGTCGTTGGGGAGCAGCAAGAAGGGGAGATGTGGAGGTCTGGGGTGATTCCCCCGCATCTCAGGGCATCTCTTGCGGCTGGTGTTCCCAAGCTGGACATTGGTGCTTGAAGAACAGTATGTCTTCTGTTATACCTTGGATCAAAAGGGTTCCTGGTTTTGAGACTGAGGGACTGATAAGCTCCAGTGATAAGTGTTGGATCTTCTAAGTGTCTAAACCTGGTTGAACTGAGGTTACAGGTCTTAATTTGAAAATCCATTCATAGCAGGAACATAGATGATATGAGGACTGTGTTTACAGAATAAATCACAAGAGGTTGTAAGTGTGATCATAATCTGTCAGAAGAGACACCTGAGGAATATTGTATATAGCTCTATGTCTTTTTAACTTGGAGGAACAGATCATGAATGGTGAAATACCATGTTTGCTAAACCAGTGTTTTGCTAAATCTACATCTTCAAGAGATGACTTGAGATGGCACTTGTGTTTCTGAGTATGGCTTTACATCTCAATGGTATGCTAAGCAGCTGAGAAAACGTAGCAATACTTAAAGTTAACAGGAAAAGGTCAGCAGAACGCTGTTGTAGCCGTGTATAAACCTCCCAGTGACATCTGTTCCCTGTTATTGTTAGAAAAATGCTACTCCATTAGATCTTGGTTGGATTTGGCGTTAAGTAGTGCCATGTAGTAAAGCTTGCAGTCGTATTAGGCTTGTCAGAGTGCATATGTTGTGAATCTGGCTGGTGGCGGGTAGCACTCTGGGGAGCCACATGGCTCAGGAGAATGGGAGAGCAGAGGCTTTCTTCTTTTTTAGCGCTGGTTGAAACCCAGCTGAGGGTGGAAAGGGTTACATTTCAGTGCGGTCTGCAAGGGGCTGGTGCACTTATTAGGATAAGTTGCTGTGCCTCATCCCAGCTCTGGGAAGACAGCTGTCTCCAGCACTGAAAACACACAAGCTGACAGCACTGCCTATCCCCCTGTTTGCTGGTTTTGGTGCAAAGGAATAGGACTGGATTGCTTGGGGTGACAAATCAATGTCCCTCCTCCTGGAGAAGTTTCTCCCGGGTAAGAGGCAAAAAGGCAGGAGAGTTTGAGCATCTGTCTTTCATGCTGTGGCTGTGCTCAGCTTGAGTGGAGGATGACACATAAGAAAGTTACTGAAATCTGTTTTTCTCAGAGGGCACTGTTGTGTCATCTTGCATTTCTTTGGCTGCCAGTAATAGCCTTTTTCTGGTTCTTACTGTTAAATCATTAACTTTGAGGGCTGCATTTGAAATATGTGTTTGATGGAAATTTTCAGTTCAAGTCACTTGTTGCTTGAAAGTTGAGGAAGTGTAACTCACCTATTTTCAGTGCATATCTAGAGTGATAAACTCTTCTGCTTTGTGCGGTTTGTGTTAAGTGTAAGGAAAACCTGGGCATATGGAATAAAAGAAGAATTATTACTACATACCAGATGTTGATCTATGGCTGGAAAAGATGTTTCCAGCCAGTTCTTCCTGAGAAAAGCTCAGCCTCTGCCAGTCCTTCCTGACTTCACTTGAAGCTGTTTGACTCTCAGTCCTTGGGAAATCCTAAGCAGCCCTGAATCAGGCATCATAGACTCAGGTGTTCCTGACTCCCTCTGAAATACTTTTCTCATAATTCATAGAGAAGGCAGTCAAGATTGGAGACATTTATTATGATGGGGAAGATAGAAGTGATTTTTGAGGCCAACAAAGTTCAAAGACTTTGCTGTAAGCCTTCAGGATTAAAGATTTACTTGATGCATCTTCCCATATTTAATAGACAGGAATAGATGAAAGGGAATTTCTATAAAGATTTTCGTTCATACTTAATGATGCCACTATTAGATGAGCTTTGGCACTGTGTCCCGAGACATGTAGTTTTAAAACCAACCTTTTTTAAACATTAAATGACCTTTTTCATCTGCTAGCTTTAATAAATAAAGATTAGTTCAACCTCCTTGCCTAGTCTGTTCTGGAGGCTCTTTGAATGGTTGGTAAAACTAACTAGTCTCCCAAAATGCAAGTGAACAAATTTTGCTGGTTTTCTATCAGAAGGCCTGCAGGGAGATAGGAAGCAGTAATGTGGTTTGATTAGTGCCTGGAATCTAGGAGTGCCACTACCACCTCCATCCTGGGATTCAGGCTGTCTGGCTGCGTTCCTTTCTTTTCCAAAACCTACCACTTGTTGTGAGCACTTCCCCCTTCCTCATGTATTTGCTACCAAGGTGGGAGGCAAAGTTCATATTCAATCAGAGCATGGAAGAGGATTTGTTGGGGTTTGCTTGGATTGTTTGTAGGGAGATTTTCAAGATTTACAACAAGAAGAGTGGAAAATCCCACCCTGAATGGAGACAAAAAACCTTTGTGCAAACATTTTTGCCTTGGTGGCCTGAGGAAACTATTTGAAATGCTTCAGTTTGAACTCTTATATTTAGAATGTATTTAACTATACATTAGTGGAAGTCAATTTATTTGAAAACAGACACTTGAAGAATATACTGGAAAATATTTTCCACTGTAGTGATTTTGAAGCTTTAAATGAGAAAATAATGAATCAAAGAATGCTGACATACACTCCCCCACCACTGATCTTTAATTTCGCTATGTCAGCACCTGGAATGTAAGCAGCATTTTGTGATGTTCATCAGATCCAGTACATTGCTTTACCCTTTCCTGGAAACAGGGTTGTAGTGCAAAGTTTACAGACATCAGGCAGTTAGTTCTGTGTATGAGGACTTACTTCTCTGCAGCTGCTGGGGAGCTGGGCAAGCTGCCTGCTGGGGCACTTTAGTCTCCCAGCTTCTTTGTCATTAAGAGCCATATCGATGCTTAGAAAACCTGTGATCCGTGCCCCTGGCCTTAGAGGAGAGCACAACCTTTTCTCTTGCATAATGAGATTAACTGCCTTAGCTTTGCAGATAATGATGGTGCTTGTGTGTTAGTGGAGCAGAGGAGATGGGTGTCGCCTGAAGGACTGGGAATGTTCACCAAGACATTTGTGCATATCGTACAAGAAGCATTGCTGCATGTTTCTTTATCAGTACTTTGGTTTAGCTCCCATAAAAGTGGGAAAAAGTAGGAAGAAAAGGAGTTCTTGAGTGGATACCATTGCGATACGAGTAACTCAGACTAGCTTGGACCACATCTGCTTCACCAGTGGATTTGGTATCTAGTTACCTTCCACAGCTGGAGTCAGGGCAGGATGAGGAAGCAGAGGTGCTCTGCAGCTTTGTCATGAGAGAAGGGATCCCACTGGGACGAGCATAGAAAAGCTGAGAAAAGAGCCCTGAAATGTGATGCAAGTTGGTTCTTGACACTGGGCTATGCTTTGAGGTTTTGAGGTTGGTTCAAAGCAAGTCTCAGGGGCAGGAAAGCCAAAGTAATGGGACCCTGAACCTGGGACAGGTTTCTTCATTGGGCTGGGCTGCGTTGGGCTCCTTACATTGATTGGCAACAGGGGTGATCAATGCCCATGCACCTGAGGAGAGGTAAGGACCTTTAAGGCACAAACCAGACCCCTGAGGAACATGTTCTCAGTCCCACCTACAGCACAACATTGATGTGCTTATCCTACAGTGGTCCCAGTTGGCTCTTTCTTCAAAATACATGTATCCTTGAACTCTGCTCCCTGCCCTTGCTCAAGGGAGACAGGATGCCTCCTGTTTATAGCTGATGTGCTTTACTTCAGTTTCCAGCTGATTTGTGTGTTTCACTCTGGTTTTCCCTACCGAAAAGAAACCCCAAAACTGAACCTGCCACAGCACAATGGCACATTTCAAAGCTTCAGCAAAGCACCTAGCTGCTGTAGTTAGTTCCCAATTTCCATGACACACAAAACAGCAGAGCCCCACTAATCTCTGCTTTCCTAACGTTGTGTGGGGCATGATTTGGTGCAGAGCTGTGACTCCATCTACACCTGAACAGTTCCGAATGGCATCGCTCTCTTTGGAGTGATTTTTGGGAAGGGAAGATAAGCACTGGTTCCTTTCCAATACACACAACAAAAACCAGTGCTGCTTTTCCCCAGGTACAAGTGAATAGCTGCATTCTGGGAGGAGACCTCCTATTAGCAGGGATAAACCCACAGGGGTGCAGAAGTTGTGCCAGCTCATAATGAAACACTTGAATGCTCGATTCCAATCTCATTTTGCCTTCCGTCAAGGAAATAAAAATAATACCCCACACTATCTCCCTGTGCCTGACACAGATTTGAGTGGGCAGGCCCAGGAGCTGAGTTCAAGAGTCAAATGCTTTCTGTTTGACAAATATTTGTCCCTTCCCACCCACTGCTGCCCACATGCTTCCTGAAATATTCCAGCTATTAGCACTGTACCAACATGCTCTTAAACGAACAAACCGAGGCTATCTGGGGACGATTTCCCTTTGTTGGGATTTGAGGCAGCGCCTGGATCTGGGCTGCTTGGGGCTGCATGGGTGGATGTCCCTTTAGAGCATCGCGTGCGGGCAGATGGCTGTGCTGCAGTGGGTGCTGGGCCAGGTCCCCAGCAGTGTAGGTGGATGTGTGGTGCTGCAGTGCACCGGCAGGTAACACAGCTACTGCTGCAGAGATTTCAACACCCACAAGTCTGGCAAGACCTGAGAGGTGGGCGAAGCGGCGGGAAAGGCCGCACGAGGGAGGGAGGATGCGCTAACAATAGCACAAGTGCTGACGCGACGGCTGCTTGCGTGGCACTGGAGATCCCAAAGGGGTGCTGGGAAGGGAATGGTGGGTCTGGGAGGTGTGCGGAGCTGAGCCGGGTCCCCGCCAAGCCTGATCTCTGCCGTCGCCTTTGCTCCCCCAGCTGCCATCCTGGATGACCCCATGGAGTGCAGCAGAGGGGAGAGGCTCTCCATCACGCTGGCCAAGAACCGCATCAACCGTGCGCCCGAGCGGGCGGGGAAAGCCAAAGTGGAGGTGGACATCTTTGAGCTGCTGCGAGACAGCGAGTATGAGACAGCGGAAACCAGTAAGTACCCTTCCATGGAGCTGGTCCTTCCCCAGTCTGCTTTCTGCTGGCTCACAGGAGGTGCCCGGCACACTGCGCTTGCTGCAGAGGGTAATTGTGTCATAGTCAAGGGAGATACATAGGGAAAAAGCACCTCTCTGCTCCTCTGTAAGGACTTGAAGGATCATCATGTGTTGATTGCTCAACACATTAATCTTTGCAAAGACCCAGACCTGCCATGGCTGCCTGAGCACAGTCATGTTTGGTGCAGGGCTTTGGTACGTTCTGGATACTGGGGCAGCATCCCCTTGGGAGCTGCATAGGACCATTAGCAGCCTTTATGCTGAGTTCAGCACCAGCCACGTGTTTGGAAGGGCTGGCCCTTCCTGGGTGCATCCACTGTGGATTACAGTGGCACATTAACAGGAGATTAGGCTCGGAGGATGAGTGCTGAGACCTGTTTTAGCATGGTATTGTGAGGTGAGCCCTGGCGTGGACGCAGGATCTGGGTCTCGAGTAAGCTTTGCCACTGTTCAGCTCAGTGGCTTGGGACAAATTATTTTCTTTAATGTGTATGTCAATAAACAGAGGTAATGGTACATGAGGCGATGCTCCTTTGTGAAGTACTTTATAGCGTGCAAATAAGAGACTCTGAGCAAGTTTAGTGCAATTAAGTTCTTTTTAAAACCCCACAGAACGCTGTGTGTCAGCAAACACGAGAGCTCTTTCAATGCTCTAGATTGGCAGTGGATTTGTTTATACAAGGGGAAGTTTTCAAGTGATGTTTAAAATCATGTGGATTAAAAAGAGCTGGTTTTGAAAGAGCAGCGTAATTCCCATGTTGCTTTCCTAATGCAAACGAGTCTCTCCTATAGTTGTTCCTCTCCATGGCCAACATGCCAGCTCCATGATGATGAATAAAAAGAGAAATTTGTGGTCAGTGTCTGCAGACCTCTCACGAGACCAAGTGAAAGAAACCAAAAAGATCTATAATAGTTTCTTCCTGTAAGAGGGAAAATCGTTTGGAACAGGACATCGTCCCTTTAGAACCATTTTTAAGACGACCTTTAGAGTTCAATGGAGGACTATAATTTTTTATTACAGGTTAGCTTGAAAAAGCTGGAGAAATCATTTTAAATACTAGGGATTTTTAGATTCATTTCCTAATGGTTCCTTGTTCCAAGCCTCTGTTATCTTCAGGGTATCCCCCAAAGGTGTGGCAGTGTATTGTGCTCCAGAGCAGACTGGTTTTTTCACACAGCTTTACTGTTCTATACAGGACTGAGCATCCCTGTGCCTGAGAGGCCCCGTGGAGCGCGTACCCAGTGCTGCTCAGGAGCAGGTCTCTGGGTATGTGTCAGAACGGGCTCGATAGGCCTGTGAGATCAGCAGATTGCTCCTTCATTTCCTGAATTAGTGTTTGCATTATTTATAGAAGTGTTCAGTTAATAAAAGTGCATTTCAGCAAGTACCTGTAGGTCTATTTTTAGAGCCTGTCACCCATGAGGCAGTCTAGATTAAGATCATCACATGCAGCATCACGGGGACTGTTCAAAACAGCACTTCTCCACCTTTTGGAGCTCTTATCCCTTTTAACAACTCCTTGGTCTTTCACATCTGTTCAGGATTGTGCACATCCTGCTTTGCCCTCGTTTCGGGTGAATCTAGTCTTACTGGCCAGACCATGCAGAAGCGATGGGGACCGCCTTGGTTTCCATTTTTCAAGCAGAGGAATATTAATTCGTTGAGAATGAAGTATTATGCAAGAAATTGCTGATTTCAGCAAACGTTGTCTTTGGGGAGAATGTGGAAATGGGATAAGTGAGGAAGAGGCAATCTCCTATTTTAAATTTTTACCTCAGGGTGATTTTCTTTGTTTTCTTTACTTGAACCGGTAGAATGTAAAAGGTAGAAATTGGAGCAAACTGGTTTGATTTTGGTCAAGTAAATATTCACGCAATTTTGCAGTATGTTATTTGCCTTTTCTTCAGAGAGAAAAGTATCTTAAAGCATTTTGTACAAAAGGAAAAACCCGGATTCTGCATGGCTTTTCTGGTAATGTCATTGAAGTTATTCTTGATTTATAGTGGTAGCAGAGGAGAATAGGATACTTATATTTCAAGGCTTTCATGGCTTTCAAATGTCTGACTTCTCAGTTTTAATGCAGCACTGATATTTGTTATCACACATAATATTAATAAAAGCAGTTTAGATGTTTTAACCTATGACTGCAAAGCTGTTATACATGTGTAATACTGATCTCAAATTTCACACACTGTGAATCACCCTTAAATATCACAGCTAGCATGCTTAGCTGATTGATATAGGAATGCTGCAATTCCCCCCCGTCAATGACACTCATGTACAACTAGTGCTTCAAGAGAAAGAATTCTTGAGAGTTAGTTGTTATTTTCTTGTTGAGGTATTATGTATCTTTTTTCCTCCTTACTCAGGCATCTTCCTGTTAGGGTCCCATAAAATCACAATTTGGACAGCAGGTAAAATACGAGTCAGTCTGGATCACACCCAAGCATGGTTTGCTTTTTCTGCTTTATATATGAATGGAGACAAACACTGACTGTTCCTGTATGCAACATCTGTAAAGTCCTGTGTTTTGAAATGATTTTGCAGTGAAAGGTTATGGATAGAGGGATTTTTTGCTGTTACAAGTGAAGCCTGTTCTCTCTTTGTGTTTGATGTTTCAACTCCTTTTATGGAGATCCAAAATGACTTGTTTAATCATGTCTCTATCTGAAACACCTTATTCCTTTTGATGTCCAGGGAAGGACAGATTTTCTACTTGTCACCCTGTCCCCTATCATTTCATCAGTCTTTTAAGCATCTTTTTGATGTTAATCCAGACATCTCAGGGCAGGTCAGCAATCAGAGTGAGCAGGCAACTAGAGGATTTTAAACTTTTATTTATTCACACTAATACTTCAAAGTGTCCGATACATCCTTACACTGACATTGCTTCAAATGCACTATTAAATGTCCCACCATCTTTGTGATCCTGTTGGATTTCATGTTTAAGCCTGCTCTGGTTGTGGGTTCCTGTTAAGAAGCATAGAATGTGCTGCAGGGAGCAGTCTTGGAGCCATGGTGCAGGATGCACTCCATATAACACTGTCTGTTTATGCAGTTCATGTTTTCTGTATGAGAATCCTGTCCTGACCAGTCCTGTCATTCAAGATCCTCTGATATGTTTGGCAATCATGGAAATGTTGAGGTAATTGCATACCTTCCCTGGTAATTTATTTTCAATTAGAGGCAGGAATCTTCTTTGCATGCTGTTCGAAACCCTTGTATCAGGTGTCTGTATGCAGTGAAAGAGATGCTGTGTTCTGCACTGTGGGTGGATGCTCTCACCTGAGTGCTTTCAGCCACGATTTGACCAGGCAGAGTTCATGGAAATGCTTGCCAAGTGCTCTGGCACCCCATGAGGTGAAAGGCACTATCTGACCATGACAAACTGGATGTACATGCATGTATAATGTGATAGCTACTCATTTGTGGTGCCTTTTCATGTTCAAAAGTAAGCATGTATTTCCATTTGCCATTAGAGGGTTTTAATATGATGTCACTTCAATGTCCAGTATTTCTTGAAGTGCTGAATTCTAAAAACCATAAAAATGGCACACAGTCTTGGGCAGAGGTATCTGGGTGTGCAGCAAGTGAAGGTGCATCCTGTGCAGTATATGTACACGTGTTGAAGCATGAAGAGACCTGAGTGGTAGAGGCTACATCAGTATCTTATGGTTATGCATGGTTATCTTCCAGGCTTGTCTGAATCCACAGTGCGTCTGATGGCAGCTAGGTTGAGCCTTTTCTCCCTGTGGAAATTAACAGCATCAGGTAGTGTCCTAAAATAGGAAATGTGCTTCAATTACAAAAGAAGCTTTCCAAACATGGTCAAAACCTTTGCCTAGGGCACGTTCACTTTGTTTCCATTCATTTCCCTTAATTTTGCTGGATGTTTCAGCCGTGGAGTGATAAGCCGAGTCTTTTTCTTCTGACAGTTGTTACAATTGTGTTGCTATGACTACTTAACTCACTTTTTGTTCTCAATACCAGAGATGAGAGGAAAAGCACTCACCAAACTTTTTCCTGCATGCACAACAAAATTCCCCTCAGGACTTTCACCCTAATGACCTGTGGATAAGAGGACTTGGAACAGCTTCTTTCCTCCTAGATGCTGAATTGCAGAGCACCCAAAGGGTCTACTTGCAGCTGAGAGAGCCTGATGAGTGCCACTGAGATAGCACGCAGGGTTTTCAAATTGCTGGTGCTCTTATTTAAAAAGATCTTCTGAAGAGGTGTAAGTGCTTGTAAATTTTTAAGCAGAGAGGAAAAGCAAGTACTGGATCCTTTGAAGATGCCGCAGAAATATATCTCTCGTTCTGTAGCAGGCTGAGGTGGTGGAGGGGCATGGGAGGAAGGAAAACTCAAGAGAAGACGTTTGCATATCACTGGCACTTTCTGTAAGAAGTCGGAGCAATCAGTATGCACAGGGACCTAGCAGTGTGTGGAGTTTAGCCTTCAAGAAGCTTGTAGAGAACTAAAACCACTTCCCCAAAGTGACAAAGTCTTCAGCTTTTGGCATCATATTCCAGTCACAAGGCTACGGAGACTTGTGTAGTCTAAAACCAGAGATGACCACCTTCATTAGCTGATCTTCTGCAGAAGATGGACTGTAGATGTTCACATGCTGAACACAACACTCAGCCCCACAGCCCCAAGCATAGTATAGCTCTCATTTCATACACTGTATTGATTTAAAGACTTGAAGTTGATAGAGGACCTGCTCTGATCTGTAGTGCAGCGGTTCTGATGATGAATTCCCTTCACTACAAAAAATACATCCTGGTTTGAATCGTTCTAGCTCCTTTTTCCAGCCACTGAATCTAGATAACTTTCCACAGCCATCACAAAAGCTTGTCTGGCATGTAAGGCAGGGAACTGCAGCGAGGATGGCACTCTGAAACAGACTGGCCATTTGATACTGAAGAGGCACTATCTTTAAAACCTCAGTTTTGTGGTTTAGTTTTTACATAGGAAAATGCTGTGAGCTTGCTTTTGCCAGAACTGATATGTAGTTGTGGTGCCTCTTTTCGCCCTGGTGGTATCCCATTTCTTCATTTGATGCTGGTTGAACAAATGTGGCTTTATCTGTCTGGGGAGGAAGGAGCTGAGTGCATGGTGATGCTCAGGCAGGTCTGGTATCTCAGAATAAGCTGTGGCCAGCACATGTTCAGACGAGCCTTTTGGAGTCTGGGGATTCAGGCGGAGGGGCTCTCGCCTTCTGTTCGTGAGGCTTTGCCTGAGCAAGCTGCTGCAGGAATGTTTCTGAGTGTTGTGGTTGATTGCGATGGCAGCAGGGAGGTGACACCAGCTGGGCTACTCCTTGGAGTGCCATTTGGCTAAATTTGTGCTGTGAATTAAAAGGACAAAAGGTTGCTGTTTAACCCGGGAAGCTTGTGGGGAGAGATTTAACTTCTTCATTTTGTCAGAGTCTTTTTATTGTTCTGCTAACCTTGGTGGCATGGAGACAGGAGATTAAATACTGCCGGGAAAAAAACACAAATGAAAAACAGTAATGTGATCCTTATTATTACTACTGAGCTCTGCAGAGGGTGAGGGAAGGAATTCATACAAGTTTGTTTGCTGCTAGATGATGCTTTGAAGCCAGGCGACTGCTGTGCTTAACATCTTCCATAAACTTTAGTTACTGTTTTCTCTTTGAGAATAGCAGATGGGGCCAAAAAGGGATGTTAGGAGAACAAACCCCAGTTCTGACTCAAAGAAGAGAGACTGGGGCTTTGGGGACAGTTCAGGTGAGATTTAGGAAGGCTGGGAAAAGATGGAGTAGAGGGTGTCACAGGCAGAGTGGCAGTGCTTCAGAGGGAATAGTGGAATTTCAGGGGGAGGTAAATGGCAGGGAGTACGTTTTGTGAAGGAGATGGTACTGTATCCTTAGTAAGGTGCAGCAGGTAAGCATGGAAATTGAGGATGAAATCTAATGCATGTTTCCTCTCTCTGGTGCCCACAGTGTGCCAGATTCTCCCCAAAGGAGTGGTAGGCGTCCTTGGACCTTCCTCAAGCCCAGCCTCAAGTTCTATTATCAGCAATATCTGTGGGGAGAAAGAGGTAAGTGGAAAAGTTGCGTGTTGGAGTAAGTCTGTGCCATAATGACTGACTTGACCCTCGAGCCCAGTGGAGGTAATGCAGGAGCCCTGGCTCCCTCCTCCCAGTGTTTCACAGCAGCCTGGGGTGAGAGGTAGAGTCACACACGTGGGTAAGGGACACTACAGAGATCCCAGCCCCGTGTTTTTCATGTTGTCCTTTAAACTGAAGATGCTATTGGTGGGCTCTGATCGCAGCGTTGCTTCCCACTGCCTGCTGCCTGGTGCTCAGATTCCCTGAGAGCACAGCATTTTGCTGGTGATTTAGTAAGTATGGACAAGGTTTTTAATTTACCACTATACTGAGCAGCAATGCCATCTGTACAGATCCCATGCAGAAGGACTTTCTGCAGCCTTGAAGGGTTTCATTTGAGACTCTGGTGTCTATGCCAAGTCCCAGCCAGAGCTGCACAGCTCACTGCAGCTTCCAGCTCTGCCTGACACTGCCTTCTCACTTGCCTGGGTCTGCCTCTTGCTTGTTCTGTCATTTCTGTATATGCACACCTCTCCTTTCCACCCTTCTCCGGCTAATGTCCACGTCCTCAACATCCCAGAGCATTCTGTACCCATGTCCCAGCTACAATGCAGAGCAGGGACATCGACTCCACTAGGCAGGGGCAGTGAGGTACATCCCTATGGTATTCCAGGTCATCCTTGGCAAAGATGACTTGCTGTAATTGTTTTATCTATTATATCATCCTTCCCATGATCTGCCATGGCTCCTAATGATGCAAGCTGACAGCTTGGTTCGTTGCCCCTTCTCCTAAGTCATATGTTCTTGCAGCATCTTCCTTTTGCATTTCCTCTCTCTTTTCTGCTTCCCTTGTCCTTGTTTTCATCCTTATCACTATTTACTTCAGCTTCCCTCACATGGCACACCATGCAAACTACACGGGGTGCAAAAACCAAAGCTTGCCCTGGCAGATGCAAATCCTGGCCCAAGTTCCTGGATGCAACCTGACTTTGTGAACATACTTGGAAAGCTGCACCCCTTCCAGTTTGCTGCTATTCTGTCAATGCAAACCCTTTTTATCTGTGTCCAGAGTATGTGCCTGATTTAATATTTTATAAGCCATGAACCATCCTACACTCATCTGGCTCTGCTCACGGGAAAAGAAATTGAGTTCTCTTCACATGGTTCATCCCTTTAAAGCCAGATAACATCTCTCAGCCTTTTAGTGGCCTCCCTCTGGAGCCCAGGAGGGAGTGCCTGGAACTGAGCAATGTAAATAATTTGCATTCACAAATGACTGCTGTTCTTTGTTCCCTGAGAAGCAGAAGTGCTGAAGAGATCTTTCAGACTTAGTACTTTTGGCTGCAGCAGGGTGGGTCTCTTGAGAGCATTTTGTAGTGCTTTTTCCAGCTAAACGTCCCAGGCATGTGAGCCATCCCAGGTAAAGGCAGCTCTGCAGTAACAGATTGCAAGTGTTTTTCCCCCTGAAATCCATATTCAATCTGAGTCTCTGATCTAAGTCTCTTCATTTATTTTTTTTCTTTCCAGCAATGAAAAGTGAGTGCTAGTGCACTTCTAAGGTATTTGATTCTCGAGCTTGATCTCAGCTGCCCTCCTAGTGATGTAAAACCTGCAGTAACTCCCTGTGATTTATATATCACAGTAGCATCAGTTGGTGCTGCTGTGTTAAATGGGATATAGCAACCCAGCCAGAGCCATTATACTTACAGCCATCCATCAGGTAAAGGCAAGCATCCCCATTTTACCACCGAGGCACCAAATGGTGGAGTGACTGGCCTGATGTTCACCAGGAGCCTGTGGTATAGCTGGGGATGAATTGTGTCTCCTGTGTTAGCTCTCTAGTGCCTTTGGCCCCAAGATGTCTTTCCCTCCTGTCCAGAAAGGGGTGTTGCACTGGGGCAGAGCTCTTGGAAAGGAGAGGAGGGCTCAGGGACTAAAGGTGAGGTCTGAAACATGGCCATGGGTGCTTGCAGAAGTTGTCACCTCTCTTCCCTGGTAGTGGTTGTTGCTGAAAGTCTCAGGCTCCATCTGGCTCCCAGAACGATCAGCGTGCTTGTACTGGAACTGCACTGTCTGCTCTGGTTAAAGGAATTTGCCTTTTGCTTACAGTTTTCTTCTCTCCCTGTTAACAACCTGGGATGAGAGCTGCAGACTGAAATTAAGGCAGATAGCAGCTTATTACTCTTTAACTTCCTACTGCTGACCAAACAGCTTATGCTGTCAATAAAGCAGCCATCACGAAGTACTAATAACCTTTCCCATGAGGAGAGAGATGGGAGGCACAGGACAATAGCTTCTGGGAGGACTAATAATGGAGGAAAAGAGGACTTGACACTCCTGTAATGAAGCTGAAGCAGATGTTTCCCTTTCTCTGTCTTCTATTTCTTCCAAAGAATTCACTCAGCAAAAGGAAAACAATACTCCTTTTCCTTATTTGGCTGAACCCGCAGTGTCTGAGCTTGGTCTGTCTGCTCACCTTCTATATAAAGCTGTGAGGTGTACAGCAGAGCTGCCTTGGAGGGAGCCCTCAGGCTGTTCCCTTCTCCCCCTTCCCCAAATTCCCTGGGTATCCCGCTCCCAGCTCCTGCTCTGCTGTATTAATGACAAACACAACACTATTAGGACTCGTGGTTAAGTCCCATTGGAGCTTGCCTGCTGTATGGCCACCAGCTACCTCTCTGCTGATCAAAACAGTCCAAAGCTTCTGGCTGCTGCATCTGTTCCTCTCCCTCCTGAGCCTTGCCAGTGCAGGGTCATCTTGTTCTTCCCTTCATCTCTCCTAATTACCTGATGACACATCAGTACTGCAGGCAGAGGTGGATTTGCAGCGCTTCATCCATCTAGCACACAGCAAAGGTCTAGGGGTTTCCAGCATGGGGCTGTGTAACTCCCTGCCTGCAAAGCTGCCTCTGAATTTACCCAGGCAACAAGCCCAAAATGAAGTGGGGGCCCTGCTACAATTAGTACCCAAGCTAATTAGGTTGAACTCATCCAGTATGGTTTCCTGTGCTGTAATCACAGCCCCCATTGCCTTTCTCTGAGTGGCTCAGCAAGACTTTTCCTGATCCACTCCTTCCCGTGGCTTCTTGTTGCTGTGATAATTATTTTCCTCTGCTATTGCACAAATCCCACCCTCCTCTCTTCACTCTGGTGATGCTTCTGCAGTTTTATTGGGATATTTCAATTTCTGCCTGCTGTGCATTTCACACCAAAGGTCCTTTTTGGGTAGATTTACTTGTTTTTATTTCTTTTTTCTCTGTAATTATGTTTTCTTCCCCCTCCTCCCCATTTAGGTTCCTCACTTCAAAGTGGCACCAGAGGAGTTCCTGAAGCTGCAGCTCCAGCGGTTCACCACCCTCAACCTCCATCCCAGCAACACCGATATCAGCGTGGCTGTGGCAGGAATCCTGAATTTCTTTAACTGCACCACTGCCTGCCTCATCTGTGCCAAAGCTGAATGTAAGTCATTGCCAGGCTGGGTTCGGCTGCCCCTCTGCTCCCAGTGCCTTCTGTTCTATCTCCTTCTGCATGTCTGGTGCCTGCTGGAGAAGGTCCTACAGGCAGCGTGTGTGAGCATCCCAGGGTGTTTGTCTCGCCTGGTTGTGGTGGCAAGGTCTCTTCTGTTTGCAGCAGGTCAGCACTCAGTCAGAGCAGCCTGAAACAGCAGTGCCCTGCGGGGCAGGTTTCCCACTCTGTTGCCCCGTGGAGGTGTTTGTGAGAGGAGGAAAGGGGATGGGGAGAGACTTGCCTGCCTTCTGTTTGACAATCTGAAGGGTGTTTTGCTTGCACAGGTGGGTTTATATAGGAAAAAAAAAAAAAGGCTTAGGCTTGTTTCTGGAGATTATTTTAGGCATGTAAAGCTTTTTGAAATATGCCTTTCCCAAACCCACGTGCCATTTGTGGCCTTAAAGCAGGATTTGATTAATAGTCAATACACTGCATAGCCTCTCAGGCTCTGCAGCCATACATCTGCTGGTAATTGTGCATCTGGATGCTGAGGCATTCACCTCAGCAGGACCATATTCGTCTTGGCATAACTTTCCTAAGGTGGCAGGAGCAAGGTCTGCATCACAGTGATGATAGTGTGTCGTGTGCTTTTTAAGGTCAGTGTGTAGGTAGGTAGCTGCTGTGTAGTACCCACACTAATTGTGCTTTTATTATCCTGTAGCCATATTTGTCAGCGCTGGAGTTTACCATACAAACAAGCCTAGAAGAAGGGCTTTGGAAAGGCATGTGGTTCCAGGGAGAGCTCTGGGATACTGGCAAGAGTTTAGCAGTCTCTGACTGTGGGGTCAGGATCCTTTCCAGCTAGCCCTGGGCAAACTTCACAGCACCAGCTGTGGGAGTAACGCAGTGTTGTGGCAGAGTCCTGCACAGGGGCAGACAGACTAAGAGTGTCTTTGCCTTTTTGCTTTATGTACCCTGAGGAGACCTCATCCTCAGCTGGTGTAAGTAGGTAAATTGCCTTCAGTAAGCATGTTCAGATTTATCCTAGTGCAGAACCTGACCCAAAACAATGCCATTAAAATCATGTAAATGGTCTCCTACATTGCTTCTGGTGCTGGAATTTTTCGTTGTCTAAGCTTAATTTAAGCAAAATGGAAGAAAAATAGAAAGGAAGAGAAGATAATGAGGTTTTCCCACCTGCGTGCTCACAGCTCTGTCCTTGTGCTGCTGCCGGGCACAGAGCACACATACACATCAGCACACCACCGTGCTCCCCTGCCCTAATCCTCACATATGTGCCAAAACATGCAGGTGCCTCCCATGGAACACAGCCTGGTGCTAACATGACTCTTCATTTAACTGGAGCAAAGCCTTGGGAACCAAATAGCTCACAGTGAAATAACATTCTTTTAATTGGATCAGTTCCATTTATTTTACTCTGGTATTTCTGGATAACTCAATACTTAGGGTGTGCTGTGCAACCTGAGTCCTTCCCAGACCCAGTGAAGCAGTGGGATGGGTGTCTTTCGTACATCTTGCTCTTTGTGCCCAGTAAGGATCTCGTCTGACCTAGGCTTAAAGCAGAACATGCTCTTACTATAATGGAGTGAAGAAAACTTATAACCTAGCTTCATGTAGGAGCACAATCCCCCATTTTCCCTCAGGACAGGTAGTGCTCCTTATCACAGTCCTTAAACAAGTAACTTAAGGCACTTTGAGCTTTTGGAAGGTTCCCAGGAGGCAAATAGGGGAGCATATGAGCTGTCTGCTCATCAGCAAGGAAATGCTGGTTTGAGGGATGTTGTTATTTAGATCCCAGGAGGGAAAGTCATAGCTTTTCTGGTTTAAGTACAAGGCTATGTGATGGGACTCCTGGGTCCTATCCCGTCACGCTCATACTATCACTGTAAGGAGTCACATCCTTTCCCTGGGGGCCGATTGTAATTTCTTCTGGCAGAAGCAGAAAATGACCCTTGAAGTCAATTGAACTTGGGCCAGCCTAACTGTAATGAATGGTGAATAGAATAGGATTATGTGACTCAGTTTCTCTGCAGTGTGAAATAAATTAGCTAGTTTGTGAACTGCTCTGAAGTGGCTACAAGGTGGGATCTAATTTGCTGGAAATGATCATTTCCTTGAACCAGAGGAGACCAAATGCTTCCTTTTTATCCTGGCCCTACTTCATCCTCTCTGTGTCTGATGTGCTTTAGAAATGTGCAGCTGGGCTCTGCCTTCCTCACTTCCTCACCACAGAGGCCAGGGTGGCTTTTATACCTGGGCTTGTGCCCCAGTGAGCTGTGGGCTGAGGAGAAGGCAGCAATAGAGGTGCAGATAAAGAAAGCAAAGAGAAAAATGAAGAGGAAGCTGAGGGTCTGTCATGAATCACAAACTCATAACTGTTGGCAGAGGGATGCTCTCCAGTTTGCAAGATTTAACTTAGAGCCGAGATATACAACCTGCAGTGTTCAGGAACAGGATCTGATTTTATTTCTGCAGGAAATTAAATAGAAAAGGTGCATTTCCATGGGGAATGGCTGAAGATTTCCCTCCAGATGCCCATGCCTTTCCATGGATTTATGTCCCCTTGAAAGTCATGTTGTGGCATAAATCTGGGTGTGCAGAGTAGTGCAGCTTTCCCTTCACCTTCTGGTGGATGAGCGGTTTCATGCAGTCAAAGTATGGTTAGGTTAAGAGTACAGGTCTGACTTGAGAGTTGGATTTGCCTCTGGGACATGATTCTGCTGATAGTTCTTTTCAGTTTTCTTCAGTGCAGCTTTCCCCTTTCTTTTTGGACCATCTTGCTGCAGGGATGGGATGTGTGGCCACAAAAGCTGCCTGTGTCTTGCTGATGATTACATCTGGTGGACATTCTGGTCAATCAAACTTGACAGGAGGTTATTTCCTGGTGAAATTCAGCAGCTGGATAGAGGAGACAGACTATCAAATACTCTTTCTTGACTAACAAAAGCTGCAGCAAGAGCTTTGATGTCTTAGTAGACAACAAGGAAGCTGTGTTGGAAGGAGCCCTTGCAATGACCTAGCTGCAGGAAGAAACTTCAATGAGAAGTGTTGAAGGCAATAGGGCACAAGTCCAGGGAACCTGGGACTCATCCACACGGGTGCTCACTAGTTACTTATTTCCTTCAGCTCCCATTTGAACGGAGAGCCTGGTCCTGCACTCAAAGGGCTCAGTGTGGACATGGGGGAGGCAGAAATGCAGATGGCAAGGCAGAAAGGAGGAGGAGGGCTTTGTCCTTGCCCAGTGATAGAGCCACTGGACTGCGAACAGTGTCCTACTTTAATCTCCAATTTCTCTACAAAGCACCAAATGTGCTGGTTTGTTTTATTATTGGCTTCTGTGTTGCTCTAGGAATCCTCAGCCCACGGGTAATTCTGCATTGTGCTAAGACCATACTCCCAGTTTTTGTCACATATTTGTATGTAGACCTAATGTTGCATTTTTGCAATGATTTCTGCTTTGTCTGACTCTCGGCAGAGCTCTTCATCCCCAGGGATGCATGCCCTTGGAAGACAGCAGCTCACATCAGAGCACTCTAAGATCTCCAAGCTGTATCAAGTCGTGCCTTGCAGGGCACTTCATTTGGGAGCTAGTAATGTAAAGGCTTAGGAGGAGGAATCATCCTCCAGCAATCAGCGACAACCAGAGCAATCCTGCATGCAGGAAAATAGTGGAGAGATTGTGTGGACTCTGGGGTCCTGACCAAATTCATGTCAGCAATCTTATCTCTTCCCAAGAGGCTTTGGGGACCACTTTTTGTCTGGGATAATTCCATGATTTCCCATTCCCTGGGAATAGACATGGGCTCAAGCAGTGAGCCTGTGCTGCAGCCCCAAATCCTTTCCTTTGCACAGAACTGCAGGACTGCTTCCTATGGATGACTACGGGCCATGGAGAAGTGCTTTGTGAACCAAGCAGAAAACTAAAGATATCTGCTTTTTGCCCCCTTCTCTTTCATTTGAAGGCCTTTTAAACCTAGAGAAGTTGCTTCGGCAGTTCCTCATTTCCAAGGACACCCTCTCAGTCCGGATGCTGGATGACAGCCGGGATCCTACCCCTCTCCTAAAAGAGATCCGAGATGACAAAACAGCAACTATCATTGTACATGCCAATGCTTCCATGTCTCATACTATTCTGCAGAAGGTAAGTGTCTCTTAAGCATCGGAGTTGTAAATGCTACTGCTTCCACTGCATGCAGAATGTAAGCATACATGTGCAGGTGTTGTATGATAATGGAGTGCAAAAATTCCTGCAGCAGCACTGGAAATGGGGAATTGCCACTGGTTGAGTTTTTGAGGAAAACAATTTGCGCTCTCTTTCCAGGACTGTATCTGTAGAAGCAATGGTTCAATTGCTCTGGGCTGATGTGTTTGCTTTCTAGAAGTGGTGTGTGCTTTGCGGCTCCTGATGCCATCAAACAGCCGTGGAGGACTGCTATAGGCACTCTGAAATCAGTCAATCACTGCCATCGTTTTTGCTTTTTTTTTCTCCAAGTACATTTATAAGTTTTTGATTCCTTTTTTATTGTCTTATTAACTGAGATTTCATTTTAATCATGTTTATTTTTAAATGGTCTCTTGCTGCAGTTTTTAGCATTTGTTTTGATAGACTACTTCAAAATTGAACAGTGGCTCCAGATGGAACTACGAAGTTGTGTAGAGTTTCCCACGTCCTGGAAGGAACAAGATGGACTTTCCTGAATGGAGGCAGGATCCAGGCAGTGGGACCCTCCCTGTTGGGGCATGCTTTACACAAGGTGTCCTGGCTGTGATACCAGGGACTCAGTCATTCAAAGGCATTGGCTGTACCATATTTATTCCTGATGACAGCCAGCAGAAACCATTAGAGCTGTTTTAATTATTCCCTACCTACCCTCCCTAAGATCTTTATTCCCCTGCTTGGACTTCTAAATAGGCAGGTTTGGGGTTTTTTTTGGGTCCCTCATATGTAGGGGGAAAGTGTTGTGGTTCTTTAGTTCTTTCTTCCATCCTGGTCCTTTATGCTGCCTGGCTGCTGAGGGCTGTCCCCCTCCTCTGTTGCTATAGTGACTTCCCACCAGCACACAGCAGCGCTCTTCGTGCACCCACCGTCTCCCTTCCTGGCTCGAGCATCCTTCTGCCACAACTGATAAAGATGTCAGAGATTGCCATGATTTCTCAGCAGTTCAGTAAAACCTAACGCAGTCTTCCCGGCTAGAGGATTGCAGGAATGGGAGGTAATAAATAATGAGCTTCTGATCTGGCAACTTCCTGCACCCTGGGAGGCTGAAAAGTGTTTTCTTTATAGAGGTGCAAGCAGAGTAAGGAGTGAGGTTGTGGTGAGCACATAGGTACATCATTGGCCTCTGCCCACAGGTCACCAACAGCAAGAAAAATGTGCTGTTGCTCTGCAAGTGCCTTGTGTCAGATGTGTCTCAGGAGAACAGTCCCAGCCTCGCACAAGGAGAGAAATAGCAATTTCTCATCTCTTACCCTCCACATATGGTCTGGAGACACATGGTTGCTTCCTCGATTACCAGCGTCTCCTGGCTGCCCACCTGCCAGCGGGCATGTTAAATGGATGGGAGCGATGCTTGCAGGAAGCACTGTGTTGCTCGCTTTGATTTTCTGCCCTTGAAATCAAATGCACTGATTTCAAAGGGGGTCAGAGGGAGAGCTGACATTATCACTGTCCCCAGGAAGGGAAAAGGGAGGGAAGTGGGTGCCAGGGTCTATCGTGGAGGGCTTAAAAATGAGGCAGCTCTTTGGAAAGCTGGCCGCGAGGCAAGGCTGCAGCCTCCTCTGAAGTTGTGATGCTCTTGTGGTTAAATAACTTTGCTGTGTCCATTTTGCCAGCCATGCAAAGGACAGGGTGACAATGTGTAACCAGAAAAGCTGGACACAGCCAGGCATCCAAAGTTTCCTACTGTCCATGTCAGCTCCCACTGCAATGGTGGTGGCCTTAGTTTTGCACATGAATAAGGAGGAATAGGGAGGGATGCAATCTAAGCCACCTCTTTGTACCTTTCCTTCACTCAATTTCTGTTGTAACCATCCTCCAGCTTCTGGGGGATATGGAAATGGACTAAAATCAAGCTGCCCTTAGTCCTTCCCTCCCTGCCTCCAGCTTCTCTGTGCGATCTGGGGTGGTGGGAAAACCTCTTCGCCAAGGTCCAGAAGCATGATTTGAGACCAGCTGTGCTTGGCAGTGAAACACAGGCTTTCAGGAGGATCTGCAGATTAATCTCCACTTTCCTGAGCTTCTGTTCCCACATCAACTCCTTGTTTACTGGGAGTTCTGAAGTTTGGAAAAAGACCTCAGTGATCTGGTCTGTGATCTCTAGAACAGATCACCACATGGAAAAATCTGTCCCCTTCAATCTGCATCTCCATATGCTTTTACCCTTCTTTTTTCCTATTTCTGTGGCCATCACAACAATGTCTAAATTCTAGACAACAGCTTGAGTTACTAGATTACATTCATGCTCATTAATTTACAGGACTGGAGCCCAAATCTGACTGATACATGTGGGAAAACCAGCAGTGGGATGACTGTCCTTTTTCTGTAACTCCAGAAGAGCTTTTTCTGCCTTGCTCTCAGCATCACGGTGTTTGTGGCGAAAGGAGACAAGCCCTGAGCTATCCCAACTGCTGGTTTCTCTCATTATGTTCAAAAAGATGTTACTAGTTGAACAGCAGAAAAGCAGCAACTTCCAAACACACAGTATGCCCAAGAAACTCCTCATTCCAAGGGCTCTGGAGGCCTCAGGTTGAGGCTGCAGGATCCCACCTCACCTTGCTGGGTCTACACTGCTGTTGGGATGCAAAAGCTTTTGTTTCCAATGGGCATCTTCTTTCCAGGTTGGCCTTGGCTGCAGTGGGGCCACATGCAGAAATCCCCATGTGTGATGTTGCAGAGAGAACAGGGATGGTCACAGGGGACCAGAGCTGTGGCTCATGCAACATTGGGTGGTTTCTGTCTGCCAGGCAGGCCCTGTGCAGGTGCTTTGTCAATGGTGTTGCAAAGAAGAGACCTCAGGGGCAGGCTCAGTCCTGCTGAGAAATTGGTTCCCCAGACTTTAATTTCACAGGTCAAATCATGCTGCTGTGTCCCACCTTTTCCCTTCTGCAGGAAGACAGCAGTGCTTGCGCAGAGCGATAAGGATGAAGAAGCAATAGTGGCCCAGACTCTGCCTTGCCAGAGTGGAGATTGAAGATTGTCAGACTCTGGTCTAATCTCCTTTCCTCTCCTTCACAGGCAGCTGAACTGGGAATGGCGTCTGCCTATTACACGTATATCTTCACTAATCTGGTAAGACATTTCTCTCAGCTTTTCTCCCGTGTGCGTGTAGAGCCATGTTAATGGGAGCTGATCTCCCTGGCCCACAGGAGTGTTGGGAAGAGCTGTGTGCTTGCAGAGAAGGAGTTTTGCAGCAGAAAGGGGGATGGAAGCAAAGAGAGGTGTCCTGTTCCAAACCTAATCATCAGTCAGGGGAAGTCTTGCGCTGGCCTTTAGGAGGTGAAAGCTGATGTGTGCCCGGCAGCACTGATTGATTCCATGTAGCTGCGAAAGGCAGGATTTGTAGACATGGAGATGATGCAATGAGATGTGTGGGTTCTTGGGATGCCCCAGCAGATGGGTGATTCCTCACCCATCAGAGGGGCTCAGGAGGGTTATGCTGGAGGTGTCAGTCCCTGAGCCCTTTACCCACAGGGTAGATTGCTTGGAGTGTGCTTGTGGAGGGCACCACAGCCCTGTGTTTTTCTGTTTTGCCTCTGAGAGCAGCTGTGGAAGACAAAGGAAGGATGATACCATAAACATCGAGAGGCAGAGCAGGGTATATATTCAGCATGGCCCCTGGCGATTTGGCTTTATAGCTACTAATAACATTAATGGGGGGATTGTGTGGTTAAATCCCTGAGTACTGTGCTAAACAAGGAGTAATGGGCTTAGGCAGCAGCAGGGGGAAACCCAAAATAAACATGAGAGAAACTTCTCTTGCTGTAGCAGCTACAAGGCTCTGGAACAAGCTGCCAAGTGGTGTGAGGGAATGCTGCCGCTGGGGAGAGGAGATACCTACCTATTAATGCTGGTGTGGTGGTGATGGAAACTGGAGTGCAGCAGGATGGGCCGGATGATTAAGTGGAGGTGCCTTCCAACCCCAAATGATACTCATCTTCTCTAATTTCTATTAATATTTATGCTAGGGTGTGCGTGTGCCAGGAAAGCCGGGAGCTGAATCACGCTTTGTGTTTGGGTGGGAGACAGACGGGAATGGATGGAGCCAAACATGTAGGCAGGAGAGCTGGAGTGGAGAGGAGGAGGGGGGAAGGAGTGAAATGGGGGATGTTGAAAGCCAAAGAGAGCAATTGGGACACAGAAGAAAAAAAGAGATAGGTAAAGGAGATGTCAGAAAAGGAGAAAAAGGCAAAAAATAGACAAAGCCATAAGCTTCCTACCTGAACTAATAGGATTCTGATTCCTGCTTAGCGCTCAATCCATAGGTCCTAATGTTGCTCAATATCAGTCCTGCAAGAACAAGTTTCACTGCTCCTGTTTATCCCCATGCAAATGGAACTGGGCAGGAAAGCAATAGGAAGGGATGAACCCGGGGGTGACAGAGACTGGAGGAAGAGCTGTGCCCTTGGGAGGTCACTTGTTTTAGGCAGTGGCTGCTGCTTTGTGGCTTCTGATCCCCAGAGCCAGACCCCGAGTTGGAGTGTAGCTGTGCTGATGCCGCTGGTGGAGCTGGTAATGGACAGTGGCCATCCCCATCAGATCCTGCCCATGATGCTAACCCACTCCAGCCACTTCCCAGTCCCAGCAAGTAGCTTTCATGTTGCCTTCTGGTTGCAACAACTCTCTTCTTCCACTGCCCTTGCCAGTTCTGGCAGGTGCTGTGCACCCCATGGGCAGGGACTGTGCACATGGTAAGGGATTTCTATTTGCACATCACCAGCATAGTGGACTCTGTGTTTTAGATGGTGCTTGACAACAGAAATAACTATTAAAAACCAGAGTCCCCACCACTGTCACCAGAGTAGTTTCAAGCATGGGTGTGATTAAACTTTTGCTTGAACTCAGAAGGTGATTATTTGTCTTTGAAACGCATTCATCTAGTGTAATGTAGTTATGGCAGGAGAGAAAGAAATGAGTTTTGTTGCCATTCCCTCTCACAGGGTATTAATCTGTTTACCCAGGTTATTTTACCACTTCTTCCAAAAAAGCAGCCCTCAGCAAAACTGCATTTTTGGCAGGTACTGTTAAAGGTGACATCGGGCAAAACCTGGGCAGATGGAAGAGATGTTTAAGGAAATTAGTAATATTTAAATGGGGATGAGAGATGGGAATGAGCAATTTAGACTAATAAATCTGGGGGGATTACCAAGCTCCTAATGAACTCTCTGAGGTTTTGCAGTCGCTGCCTAATAGAAAAGATAAAATCATAGTGAACTACTGTCAAGGGGGCAAGCAAAAAGATGGCTTTAAATGGAGGAAGAACCTATTGGAAGGGGAATAGACAGTCTGTATAGCATTAAGCTACTTGGAGATGGAAAAACATTTCAGGCAAAAAAAAGAAGAGAAAAGGGGATAAAATGCTGAATTAAACACCTGCCCTGCAGCACTGGAGGGGAATTCTGTTTCTGTCTTCCAGCATTAATTTCACTTAATAAGCACATCCCAGCCGACAGCTAGTTGTATGTCACAGCTATTCCCTCTGTGGAGCGTTAGATGGAGGCAAGTTGCTACAACTCCCCTGGCACGGACCCACGGGAGAGTGATTTGGGGGTGACAGCTGCTCCATAGCCAGCCTGATGACTGCAGAGAGCAGTCAATGGGAAGGCAGAGCAGCACAGTAAAGCAGATGCCAGCCTTCGGCAGGAGATTGTGGGAGCAAATGAGGAGGAAGTCCTTGGCCCCCGATGCATTTCCATCGGAGCCGAGGCGAGCAGACTGATGTAAAAATATCCACAGGCTAATTTACTGCGTGCAAATTCATTATCAGCCTCCTCCAGCCAGCTCAAGGGACCCTTTCTGTCAGTAACACTGCTCCAAGAGTTCTAATGAAACTCACAGGACAGAACAGGTCTGGTGCATTTTTCTTCCCCATGTCCATCATCTGTGTGCACGGTACTCATGGCAACTGAGCACCCTTCTGTCCTCAGTCCCCTTGTAGAAAATCTCAGCCTCTCAGTTTCTTCCTGGCATCTCCACATGGTGACAAATTCCCTTGCTCTGGCACTTACCCTTCTGGGAGGGCTAAAATGTCCTGAACTAATGGCAAATGCTGCCCCAGTGACTAGCTGCTCATCCTTCCTTCCCCACTCCCTAGCAGCTTATGACCATGTAAAGGCGTGATGGTGTGCTCCGTAATAATAGTAGTACAAATATAATAATAATAATAATAACAACAACAGTAAATAATTAATAATTATGATGATGCCAGTGCATAAGTAGAGCACTGAAAAAAAGAATGTTCCTCCTAGTGCTGGAAATCCTTGAAATCAGCAGTGCAGAGCAGGAGGGGTGTTGGATGCCTCCAAAATCCTGTGCTACGATTAATTCTTTTAGCTTATTAATTCTGTGTAGCTTGTTATTTTTGCCTTCTTTTTCCTCTCTTATTTTTCATTATAACTTATGGACCTCAGGCTGGGTTTAAATTTCAAAACATTTATCAAGGAGATTAGATGGAATTAATTGAAACAATTAAAATTATTGCTGTAAGAAGGAAGGTGTAAAGGAGTTTCACTAGTGCCTTAAGTCAGACGGTCTATTCACGGGATGCACTTTTGCTCCCTGACAGTATTGTGTGCAGGTGTTGTTGCTGATAAAAGAGGTGCCATATTCCATTTCCAGAGACCAGATAAATCCGTTTTGGTTTGATTCCACCCACCCCCACCCCCACTCACCAC